TCCCGCCAGGCCCTCCTGTCTTCCGCCGTCCTCTGAAGTTTGCTCAACTTCATGTTCGTTGCATCTATGACACTGTCTAACCATCTCATCCTTTGCCGTCCCCGTCTTCTTTGACCTTCAGTCTTTCCCAGCATCAGGGTCTTCTCCAGGGAGTGCTCCCTTCTCATTGGGTGGCCAAAGTATTGGAGCTTCAGTTTCATTATCTGGCCTTCCAGGGAACAGTCAGGGTTGATTTCTTTTAGGATTGACTGGTTTGATCTTCTTGCAGTCCAAGGGACTCTCAAGAGTCTTCTCCAGCACCATAGTCTTAATACACTTGGCTAAAGATCCTTAGGCGATGGACTTCGGGGGTCACAGTGCGGTCTTAAGCAGAGCTCCACCCTTCTAAGCCCGTTGGCTTCCATGTTTGTTTATTCATTTCTATTTCTATTCCACCCTCCCCACAAGTGGGCTCAGGGCGGATCACAAAAGAGATTCTAAAACACATCAGACCAAATATTACAGAACAATTAAAAACAACTTAAAACACCATAAATTATAACAGGTTGCACTAGCCAGTTTGGTGTCGTGGTTAAGTGCGCGGACTCTAATCTGGGAGGACCTGGTTTGATTCCCCACTGGTGGTGGTAGGGTTGCCAACCTCCAGGTGGTGGCTGGAGACCTTGTGGGATTACAACTGATCTCCAGGTGACAGAGATCAGTTCACCTGGGGGAAATGGCTGCTTTGGAAGGTGAATTATCTGGCATTCTACCCCACCGAAGTCCCCCCCCCTCCCCAGGCTCCACCTTCCAAATCTCCAGGTATTTCCCAACCTGGAGCTGGCAACCCTAGGTGGTGGTTTTGCCCACTTGCCCAGGATCTGGTCTGTCTTGGGCACACACACAACTAGATTGTCAGGAGCACTTTAAACTGTGCCTGATTGCCATCTTGGGAACTGTGTCATTTAAGAACATAAGAAGATAAGAGAAACCAATGCTGGATCAGGCCAATGGCCCATCCAGTCCAACACTCTGTATCACACAGTGGCCAAAAATGCCAGGTGCCATCAGGAGGTCCAGCAGTGGGGCCAGGACACTAGAAGCCCTCCCACTGTTGTCCCCCCCCCCAAGCACCAAGAATACAGAGCATCCCTTGCCCCAGACTGAGAGTTCCTGACTATACCTTGTGGCTAATAGCCACCGATGGACCTCTGCTCCATATGCTTCTCCAATTCCCCCTTGAAGCCGTCCATGCTTGTAGCCGCCGCCACCTCCTGTGGCAGTGAATTCCATGCGTTAATCACTCTTTGGGTGAAGAAGGACTTCCTTTTGTATGTTCTAACCCGAGTGCTCAGCAGTTTCATGGAGTGCCCATGAATAGCTTTCAGATAACGTAGAACTATGTTTTAATTGTTTTAAATGGTTTTATACTAGTTGTTGTAACCCACCCAGGGCCCTGCCTTGCAGGGGCAGGTGGGCTAGAAATCAAAATCAATCAATCAATAAAGTTATATCCCCCCCTTCTGCTCACTAAGTACGTCTAAAGCCCTAGATTCATGTGTTGTTTGAACTGAACCAGAGGGCAGCTCAGCTTCTGAATTGTCTCAGTTTACTTTCTCATCAAAGCTATGGAGAATGAAACTTTATTGACTGTTCCTTTTTTAGCCCATTCTTCCTCCAAGGAGATAAGGGTGGGGCTGCTTTATTATTCTTAAAACAGTCCTCTGAGGATATGACTGGCCCAGGGTCCCCAGAGAGTAGAGAAATGGGGTTAGCTCTGACTGCTGTATCACTTCAGACAGATTCTCCAGTGTGCAACTAGATCTAGCAATATAATCCCTTTTGAGGGGCTGGTCGTTCATCTTGGCAAATGCCATAATATAAATAATGTGTACATATGTATGCATGTGTGTAGATCAGAACCAAGGAAGAAGGTGTTGCATGATACTTTAATTTTATCATTAATTGGTTAGCAGAATCTGTATTATCTCCAATGGCAAAGTCTTAGGACTGTACTGTACAAAGGTCTCTCATTTGCTCACTTATGGCAGGAGCTCTCCAGGTAATCAGGTCCCTTGTCCACCAGTGCTCACCTGATCGGCAGGCAGACCCTGAGACCAAAGGAGGGGGGAATGGTCCTCCTGGGGAGAAAAAATTAAAAGAAAAATAAGGTCTTGGCTACTTACAGGAAGTTCTGACCACAGAGATCCTGGCGATTCCTAGAACTACCCAGAAGTGACAAGGGTAGCTCTAGAAATTGCCAGAAACTCTATGATAGGATTACCTAGCAACCCTCACTATCTATTGAAGGCAAATATTGCCTGATAATCACAGTAGAAAAGGGTAAATGTTCATATTCTGTGTGCCTTTTTTTGGTATTTTCACATGTGTGTGTGTGTGTCAGATTCTCCAGTGTGCAACTAGATCTAGATATATAATCTCTTTTGAGGGGCTGGTCGTTCGTCTTGGCAAATGCCATACATATATAAATAATGTGTACATATGTATGCATGTGTGTAGATCAGAACCAAGGAAGAAGGTGTTGCATGATACTTTAATTTTATCATTAATTGGTTAGCAGAATCTGTATTATCTCCAATGGCAAAGTCTTAGGACTGTACTGTACAAAGGTCTCTCATTTGCTCACTTATGGCAGGAGCTCTCCAGGTAATCAGGTCCCTTGTCCACCAGTGCTCACCTGATCGGCAGGCAGACCCTGAGACCAAAGGAGGGGGGAATGGTCCTCCTGGGGAGAAAAAATTAAAAGAAAAATAAGGTCTTGGCTACTTACAGGAAGTTCTGACCACAGAGATCCTGGCGATTCCTAGAACTACCCAGAAGTGACAAGGGTAGCTCTAGAAATTGCCAGAAACTCTATGATAGGATTACCTAGCAACCCTATCTATTGAAGGCAAATATTGCCTGAGAATCACAGTAGAAAAGGGTAAATGTTCATATTCTGTGTGCCTTTTTTGGTATTTTCACATGTGTGTGTTTGTGTGTCCATTCTTGGAAGTCATGGCGACCTATGGCGACTCCTACTGGGGCATGGAGGACATCCAGAGAAGTGACTTGATAGCTGCCTCCCAGCCCTGGTATCCATTGGAGGTCTGCCACCCAAGTACTTGCCAGGGTCGGCCCTGCTTAGCTTCTGAAATTTGACAAGATGGGACTTGCCTGGGCTATCCAAGTCGGGGCCTGTGTGCTTCTTCAGCAACATATTTGAGGGCGTGAGAGGCTCCATATTCCCTGATGTCGACACAACCCTTTCTTTCTTGTCTTGGACAGAATTGTGAAGACTGGATCTCTGGCTTGGTACTATGAACACGTGAGATCCCGGTTCAAACGCTTTGGCAGTGCGAAGGTGATGCGGTCTCTCTACGGGAGGATGGCGCGTGGACAGAAAACGAATCCTGCCTTGCTCGGTACTGGCAGGGGGCTTGGTGAGATCCTCTCTGTCATTTCCGAGAGATTTCAAATTTCTCTTTGAAGATCCTACAGAAGTATTGAGTGCTGAATTAACGGCCACTGTACCATTACCAAAATTATGTCTGAGTAACTCTGGTCTGTTCCCACACATATGAATTAGTGGCTTGGCTTCCAGACCAAAGAGTGTGGTTTCCAGCCTGGCTCGAGTCCCAGTGTCTCTCTTTTTAGAAATTAATCACCAGTGGTGTGCGGTTTGGAAAAACTGAATTGTATCGAGCTGTTTACCATAATACTAAGGCTAGTATTTAAAGTTATAGTTAATTCGGAAGAAGTACAGCAGCGTTCTAGAAAGGCCCATCAGGGATATAGCCACCAACCAACCTTATGCGTAAGGGTATCTTTAACAGCTTAACACTTCAGAGTGTGCCTTTAGATCTTCCAGAACCATCTGGAACGGACTTCTATAGAAGGAGGAATATTGAGCTGACAATCCTGAACCGGGACAGCTGTTTTCATGTTCTTGTGTAATGTACTGTTTAAGCACTAACAGTGATCCAGAGCTGAAATCTATCCGGGTAGCGCTGATTGAACACTCCTGCTCAACAAGTAAAAAGATGCTCCTGTTGTAGATCAAGCTAAGGTCAACGGAAAGCGCTGCAAGTTTTCCATGGAAAGGCCACACCATTCTCAAAGCCGACAGGCCGAATGCTTAAAATAGCAAGGTTGGCCGATGGTGTTCTTTCCGAATAAAAAGGTTTTATTCCCTTCCCTTTTTTCCCTTCAAACCTGGTTGATCTTAAAAAAAAGGGGGGGCACCTGGCCAATAGATGGCAGTGTGAGGCAGTTTTACATTTCTCCCCCCTCCTTTTTCCTCTTTCTGGATGACATTTGGAAACATGGCTCAGCGATCATTATCCTGAATCGGTTATGGCAGGTGCTTTGGTGAATTGTCCTCACTTTCAATGTAATATTGTGACATCCAGCCGCGCAGGTTGCTCTGGGAGGTTTATAGCTCCTCCTCCAAAGGTGCCACTTTAAAAAAGAAAAAGAAAAAGGTCTTCCTGTCAGGGACATGCGTCTGTTTCAGAAGGAATGGATGCCAGAACCCTAAAGCCCCATTTCTTCTGTTTGTTTGAATAATGGAAATGATTGGTGCTCACAACAAATGAGTGACAGCACGGGCTGTAAACCCCTCCCCCTTGCATCATAGGCAAATAGGCCTTAGGACAGGCCCATCCTGCCGTGGAAGTGTCTCGGCTGGGTTCCCTTTGTCATAGCTTGCCGTCAGGTGACAAACGCAGCAGGTTCGAGGGAGACAGAAAGAACTGTAGAGGTATGCTCCCTCTAAGCTGTGGAGTCTTGTGACTAAAAACTCTACTTTGTGAGCTACTGGCATTAAAGTTGTGAGCGAGCGATTTGGCTACTGTGTAAATCAGTTTGCTCTGGAGCCGTCCTTCCTGAGCTGAGACAAAACTGTGTGAGCTGGAGGCTAAAAAACTGTGAGCTAGCTCACACTGACTCAGCTTAGAGGGAACACTGGCTGCTGGTGGTGGAATGTGCTGGCAAGTCGCATCTGACTTGTGGGGTTTTCAAGGCATGTTGCCTACCTCTGTGTAGCAACTGTGGATTTCCTCGGTGGTCTCCCATCCAAGTCCTAACAAGGGCCAACCCTGCTTAGCTTCCGAGATCTGATGAGATCGGGCTAGCCTGGGCCATCCGGGTTAGCGCCCATAAGAGATGTAAGCTACTACCAGTTCTCCCCCTTCTGGACCGCCGTTCAATGCGGGCTGCAGTCAGTATGTTCCTGCTAGTTTGTCACCTTGCTTCTTCCTCCTGTGTTGTGTTGTTAGCCATTCCGTTGTGCTCGACTCTTGGCAATTCTATGGGCCAGCTCTCTCTGCATTTTCCAGTCTTGTGCTGTTCCTTTGCATCGTTCCATGCTCAGGCTGGTGTCGACTTTTATGGTACCTAGCCACCGTGTTCTTTGGCAGCCCGGTTTCCTTTTGCCGCTAACCAGTCCAAGCATAATTGCTTTTTCTAGTGAGTTCTTCCACATAACATGGCCGAAATAAGTCAGTCACGGTTTTGTGATTTTTCCTTCTAATGGCATGTCTGGCTTAATGCGCTCCAAGACTTGCTTGTTTGTCACCTTTGCTGTCTACTTCATAGCGCCATTGAAAAATGTCTTTTTCCTCTCAAACGTCGTCTTCTAGGACTTCAGGACAGAGTGTACAGCTTGCCGGACATCCACCGTAAGTTACCTTTTTAAAAAAAATTAGTCCTTTTGAAGAAATCAGTAGCACACGCTCTGGCCACTGAACCACTTCCTTGAAGACCTGCTTGGTCCTTGAATTTCCAGATGCTTCTGTAGCAGAGCCCAACAGGGCTTTTCATATTTATATCAGGGAGAAGAATATTCATGCCGGAGATTGACCAAAGAACGACTGTGTCTGTGGCTAAGTTTCGGTTCTCTGTAACAAACATACGGGCCAAGTTAACATCCTGTGTATAATCTACTCAGATTCTAACCCTTAGAGTATTCGTTTGCAGTCACATGCACCAGATAAAGCAGGGGGCGGGAAGCGAGGCTATTTCCTCCGGAGGAATTTGACCCGCAGTTGCACAATCACACAGTCCTTGGAAGCTGCAGGCATAGCCCGCCGCTGCATGATCAGACACGACTGCAGGTGACTCGGGGTTGGGGGTTTTTGCTGTTTGTTTCCGATGCGCTTAAATGAGGAATCGATTAATCACATCTCCGCACTGAGGGATCCCCATGGAGTTTGCGATGATGCGCATACTGCGAAGGGGGGGAAGAACAACGGCACGGAGTCGGAATGGCCTGATCGACGTCATGAGAGCACACTGGAGCGATCAGACACAGGAAAGTCCGTCTGTGGCCCGGTGCAACCCGTTTCCTACCAGATTTCCCCCGGTGTCTTTTTACTCTGCTCCTGCGGCAGAGCAGAGTGGGTTGCCAACGGCTGCAGGATGCTTCCCAGATGTTGCTGTCTGATTCTGCCCTTTTGATCCATCGGGCATTCACACCTATGTTGGATCTTCTGGCAGGTGGGATCACAGCCGGAGCCTTATATTATACTCTGTTGACATGCAGAGGACAATGACATTTTTCTTTGTTCTACAAATCCTGTATGATAATTTAGCAGGCGTGACAGTTGTGTTGCTCCTGCTGGGAAGTCCATCAACATTTAAAATAGCATGAAAGTGTTTGAACCTCTTTTACTAGATGTTTTACACTTCTATCCTATATTCAGGTGGGGTAGCTGTGTTGATCTGAGGTAGCATAACAAAGTTTGAGTCCAGCAGGATCTTTAAGACCAATAAAGTTTTGTTCATGTATAAGTTTTTGTGTGCAAGCACACTTCTTCAGTTATAGTGGAACAGAACCCCCTCAACCATTACTTATAGGGAGTAGAGGTTGTTGCCAGGAAAGGCCATACAGAGTCAAAATACATAAGTACTGGGTGATTATAGCTGAGATAGAATGTAAGAAAGATCTTTAAATGGCAGTAAATTAGCATACAAATACAAGAGTTAACAAACAGATGTGGGAGCAAGGTTTGAGTCCAGTGACACCTGCAAGACAAATAAAGTTCAATTCTGGGTACAAGCAAGAACTGAGAGACTTAATATGTACACTAATTCAGATTCATTGAAACAGATTTCCTCAAATATTACATATGGGGGGGTTAGTTGCCAGGAAGAGCTACCGTATTTTTCGCTCCATAAGACGCACTTCCCCCCCAAAAAAAAAGTGGGGGGGAAAGTGTGTGCGTCTTATGGAGCGAATACTGCAAAAAAGAGTGCACGTTGGGGACCTTAATGATGCCGTGGGGGAGCAGTGGAACATGCCCGGAGCCGGCCGTCTGGGGCTGCGCTGCCGCTGGAGACTCCTGCCTCGCCGCCCGCATGGGAGGGAAAGGGGCGCATGCGAGGAGGAGGAGGAGGAAGGGGGGAAAGAAAAGAGAGAGGCAGTGGTGGCGACTGGCTCCCTAAATGGGAGGTGCTGGGGACTGAACCTTCTTTGTGCTCAGCAGCTGAGGATATGGCGTGGCAGAATATGCCCAGCATGTTGGTATCATGGCCCTTCCTTTTGCTATTACTGACCCAGGTGATTACGAGCTCTGTGGAAGCGATAGGGGCGATGGCCGTGAGGAGGAAGAGTCCGATGATGTCCTTGATAGCGCGAAGGCCGAGTGTTACGCACGGGTAAGTCTCCAAGGTACACGCCTGCTTTCCTGGGCTACGGGATTGCTGAATCTTTTGTAGAGTGCAGAGACGAAGGGATCCTTCTCTCTCTCTCTCTGTCTCTCTCTCTCTCTCTGTCTCTCTCTCTCTCTCTCTCTCTCTCTCTCTCTCTCTCTCGGCTTTGGGAAATGGCTCTCCTGTTGCACTTTGCAATTCTGAAATTGAATATTCTGCTTCTCATTCGCTTCTACTTTTCTTTTTCTTTTTTGCATTTTTATGATTTTGTTTCTGTGTGCTCAATATAAATGCATTTGGAATTAGGGTTGCCAGGTCCCTACCTGTTGCTGGCAGGGGGCTCCAACCTGCTGTCCAGGATCCTCTATGGTTACCATAGAGTTTTTGTCAGATGCTAGAGCGTCTCCCCCCCCCCAACGTGTCCTGCATGATGATGTTATCTCCGGGTGACATCATCGTGCCAGGCATGTTGGGCGTGGCGAAGCTCTTCGGGGGTGGGGCTCCCCCCATTGGCCAGCTAAGTGGTGGCAGATTGGACCCCCGGAAGCAGGTAAACTCCGCTCCCATCGGGAGTGGTGGTGGTGGCAACCCTATCTGGAATAGCTCTCAGCTGCCACTGTACTGTATGGACTTGAAAAAGGATTCCACAGGAGAGAATACCAAGAGTTAAACTCAGACCTAAAATTCCAGGGCCGGTTCGGTGCTGATTGCTGTGTTTTAAGGCACTCCTTTGCAAGAAATCTTGTGGAATCCTTTTACTGCCCTTTGGGATTTTCCTTGGAATCAGGGTTCTTCTGCTTTCTGTGCTTCCCAAGATGCGCAAGACGAAGCGCCTGCTGTCTGTCCATCCTTTTGACTTCGAAATGGACTCTGAATACTCTGCTCAGTCGCGACGTCAGTCTATGCAGCTTTCACCAGGACCCTACAGTGAAAGCCTTCAGGTATTTAGGAGGAGCCAGCTTGTGATTGGTGTGTGTGTGTGGGGGGGGGTTTGCGTTTTCCCTTTCTCCTTGGAATTTTCAGGGTTTTTTAAATACTTCAATCAAGAAGAGAAGAAGAAGACATTGAATTTCTACCCCACCCTTCACTCAGAGTCTCAGAGTGGCTTACAATCCCTTTCCATTCCCCTCCCCAGAACAGACACCCTGTGAGGTAGGTGGGGCTGAGAGAGCTCTTTGGAGAACTGCCCTTGAGAGAACAGCTCTGAGGGAACTTATGACTGACCCGAGGTCATACCAGCAGCAGCTGCATCTGGAGGAGTGGGGAATCAAACCTAGTTTTCCCATATTAGAGTCTGCGCTCCTAACCAGTGCACCAAACTGGCTCTCCTTAGAGTGCAACAAGATCTTTGAGGTATATGCTTTCAGGAGTGAGATATCTGACGAAAGAAGCTTTTACTCTTGAACGCTCATACCCCGAAAATCGTGTTTGTCTTTGAGGTGCTACTGGACTCGAATCTCGCTCTACTGCAGACCAGCACAGCTACCCTCTGAACAAACGTATGGTGTACGTGATCTTTCATAGGAGGTACACCTCTCCTTGGACAGTAAGCCCGAATCCCATCGCTGTTTCCGTGGTCTGGGAAACCTGTTGCAAGGAAGTTTTTGTATCATCCAATCGATCCGCAATAGGTTTAAGAAGGGTGGTTTTCTTGTCTAATATATCCACTTCGAAAACCTTTAAGGAGTCAGAGAGGTCTTCTTTAGTCAGAGCTACACCAGAAGCTGAGGGCTCTTTGAGCCCGGCGGCCATTTTGGAACCTACTCTCTGTGCCGTTTCTTGGCTCCCCTGACAGGAAAAAAAGCTTTTACTGATGTAAAAAGACCAAGCCCATGACTTGCACCTTTAGATCCACTAGACTTTCCCATGACTTAAACTAAGTCAGTGATGTTGCTTCGATTAGGTAAGTTGGTAAAAGAGGGGAAAGGGATGGGAGCTCAACCCTTAGACTTCCACCATGTCTGCGGTTGACGCCACACTTGTGTGAGTGATCTTTTGATTAAAATATTTTAAAACACCCTGAAAATTTAATTTCCTAGTAATCTATGGTTTTCTGTTTGACTTAACACATGTAAAAGGGTAAATACTGAGATCCTATCACAGTTAAAAAGTCAAATGAGACCTCAAAATAATATTGGGGAATTTCAGACAGGCGATAGATTCCGGAAGGGAACCGGTTCTCAAATGGGTTCTGGTCTGTCATTTCAGACAGAACCCGTTTGAGAACCGGTTCCCTTCCGGAATCTATTTGCCATTTCATACACAAATGCTTCAGTCCCGTTTAGGAACCGGGACTGAATCGTTTTACCTGTCATCCACTTCCAAGTGGTCTCCAGTGCCCTCTCCCGGTTCCGATACGCTTTTCCCCCGCCCTTCTCCGCCCGCGCGGGCGATCTCCGGTTGTTTTTTTTAAAAAAACGTTCGATTTATAGCGTTATAGCGCTATAACGGTATAACGGTATAACAGAATAGCATTATATCAATCCCATTGGAATGCATGGAGTGTTTTGTTATACTGCTATAGCGCTGTAGCACTATAAATTGACTGTGTTTTTTTAAAAAAAATCGATCACCCGCGCGGGAGGAAAACGGCGGGAAAACAAAGTGGTGCAAGTCTGAAATGCCAAACCGCTTCTGATCCGGCTCATTTCCGGTAGGGGCAAGCCCTGTGTGAAATGGCAGCCCTGTACCAGTTCACTTCAAAACGGATGATTACTGGCTTGAAACCGGGTGAAACTGGGTAATGTGAAATTCCCCATTAAGTCAGTAAACCGGGCTCAGCCTTTAAAATGACTTGGGGCCCATCCTGAATCTCTCCCCTGGTGCCAGCTTATCCGTGCATGCCTGTCACTTGCTGCAGTGATGATTTACATGTGTGAATGTGATGGATGCGTGGCCACAGAGGCCTCCTGCCCTCTGTCCACCCCGGTTTCTTTTGGCTGGAGACACATCACAGGTTTAGATAACTCTCCAGGTAAAGAGGAGGGGCCGGTCAATTCAGCTGGTCAGTTTGTATTGCTGAATGGCTTCTATCCTTATTCCGTCTGACGCTGAGCCGACAGCGTCTGGTAGTTCCATTTCTATTCAGACATTAAGTGGAAGAGAGTATATAGCAAGGTTTTGATCCATAAAGTAGTCTTTAAAGTTTAACGTGTATTCTTTATTGTCCATTGCTGAGTATACGCCTTCCAGTGTGTAGAAACAGTATTCACCACTTACTCCTGATGGGTGCCTATCGGAATATTTTAATGAGTTTGCTTTCATTCAGCCTCAAAAGAGTTTAGTATCGGGTAGCCATAGACCAGAGTACCTCATAGAAAACAAAAAAGGTAGATGGGCCCATTTCACACGGGCCAGATAACGCTGGTGGGGGGGGAGGCGTTGCTGTTCACCCTGGAGCAAAATAAAATGCGGTAGCCCGATCACACGGTTTGAGTCTCTGTGCTTAGGCTGTTAGCTGGCTATCACACGGCAATGCTGCAGCGTGGCAAAGAAGTGGCGCAATCACACAACATTTTGCGTTTGTGCGCATGCGCAGTTCTGCGGAGCAGCACTGCTTTCAGTTTCATGTTTGTGCGCATGTGCTTACAAAAAACATCCGGTTTGCGACGGGATGTAGACGGGCGCCTGATGCCATGGGATACTAGTGCTCCAGGGATCAGATGCCCACCCCTGCCCCGGGTTTTCCGGATACTAGTGCACTTTCCTTGGTACTTTTTAACTCTGCATCTTCGGCGGGACGCCATGGGTTGGCCACAGGTGCGCTACGCTTCCCAGATGTTGCGGGGTGATCGCGCCCCGAAAACCCGCCCGACATTCGTGCCCATCGCGTGGCAAATTCTCCGTGTGACCGGAGCCATGATATTACTTCTTCCTTCTTCCACACAGCAGAGTCACAGTATGGGTGGAATTTATGGTTTCTTCTCATGTTAGCATGTGTTACATCTGTTAAACATCTGACAGACCAGAGAGTCCTCTACAACTTTGGGTGTTCTAGTTGAGGCCTATCTGTCACATTGGGTCTTAAAACACACATGTCTTGCTGGATTTAATTTCTTTCTCTGTTAATTGGGGCTGGGACAATACCAGCCCATTTTTTCAAAATACAGCAGGAGTGACACCAGAAGAGCCACTTAGTTCTTACACTAGTTTCCAGCCGGCTTAGTTGCACCCCCCAGATAAGTTCTTGTCATTGGGTTTGCTACGGCTGCATCAGTGCAGCAGGGAAGCTGCAATGTGAACGCTTTGGTGCACAAATGTAACTTTCCCACAGCCGTTTAGAACAAAGTTGTTACTCCAAGGACCTTTTCTTCTTGAATTGGAAGAAATATTTTGGCGCAGGAGTTAAGATTGGCAGACTCTAATCTGGAGAACCAGGTTTGATTCCCCACTTCTCCTCCACATGAAGCCTGCTGAGTGACCTTGGGTCAGTCACAGTTCTCTCAGAGCTCTCTCAGCTCCACCCACCTCACAGGGTATCTGTTGTGGGGAGGGGGAGGGAAGGCGATTGTAAGCTGCTCTGAGAGCCAGTTTGGTGTAGTCGTTAAGAATTGACCCTAATCTGGGAGAACTGGGTTTGATTCCCCACTCCTCTACATGCTGCCAGCTGGGTGGCCTTGGGTCAGTCACAAGTTATATCAGAGGTGTTCTCTCAAGGGCAGTTCTCAAAGAGCTCGCTCAGCCCCACCTACCTCACTACCTGTCTGTTGTGGGGAGAGGAAGGGAAAGGAGATTGTAAGCCGCTCTGAGACTCTTACTCTTCCTCCTCCTTGTGCAGGGAGGGAAAAGTTGGTGGATAGTTTCCAGAGGGAGAGGTGAATGAGGGGAGGGATCAGATGACAGCTTCAAGACGCTGACAGGCATTCTCTCTCCTTAGACCTTCACAGAATTTCCAGGTGATGAAGAAGAAGACACTGCCTGGAAGGAATCAATGGTAGCAGAAGCAGACCTGGCCGCCATGTTCCACCGTATCCTGGAGGAAGAGGGGCGGCGCACAGCCCCTCCAAAGCACGAGTTCAGCACGGAGGTTCAACTTGCAGTGAACTCACGTACTAAAAGCCTAGAAAGAACCCCCAAGTCTGGTAAGTTCTGGTGACCTGATTGTAGGCTGTATTCGGCAAAACACCCGGGGAGACATTTAATAAATGGCTAGTGTAATTCATCTGAAAGAGAATATACCCTGCATCTCAGCTAATGTCTTTTGCAGTGACTTTGGGATAAAACCCACAATTAAGACGAATCAGAGATAGCGATTAAGTAGACATCCAAATAGCATACATGAAACCACTATTAGAAATATTAGTTACTAAGACCAGGATTCAATATAGAAGAAATGTAAAAGAAGAACAACCCCAAATCCAGCCCTATAATCGAAGTTGGGTGAACAAAAAAAGTTGGTATCTAAGATTAATGAGATGTGCCAGATAAACAGATTGTGAGGTGAGACCTCCAAGTCGGAGAAAGGTGTCGCCAGAGAAAGGACCACCTCTTCGGTGGGTAAGGGCATGATGAAAGACCTCAGTAGAAGATCTGAATTCTTTGGCAGGCTCACAGAAGTAAAGTGGCCCTTTGAGTCTCCTCATCCCAGAAAAAAACTCTAAGAGCCAGTTTGATGTAGTGTTAAGTGCACAGACTCTAATCTGGGACAACTGGGTTTGATTCCCCACTTCTCCACATGCAGCTGCTGATGTGACCTTGGGTCAGCCACAGTTCTCACAGAGCTGTTGTCTCAAGAGCAGTTCTGTCAGAGCTCTCTCAGCCCCACCTACCTCATAGGGAAGGCACTTGTAAGCCACTCAGAGACTCCGAGTGAAGGGCAGGGTATAAACCCAATCTCTTATCTCTTCTTCTTCTTCTAAAAGTCACGGGCCACTCAGCAGAGCGCAGTCTGAGGAACCAAATCCTACGGACCCATCACCCCAGTCTTGGCCTATCTACACTGGCTCCCAAACAGTTTCTGGGCACAATTCAGGGTGCTAGTGTTGACCTTTAAAACCTGATATGCTTCAGGACCAACATACCTGAAAGACTACCTACTCCCTTATCAATCTGCCTAACCACCGTGGTCATCTCCTGAGGCAGTGCTCTGGGTGCCCCTGCTGTCTGAGATTAGGTGGGTGGCAACCTGGGAGAAGTCCTCCTTGGTCATGGCATCTTCTGAGCTGAGTTAGTGTGAGCTAGCTCACCGTTTTTTAGCCTCCAGCTCACACGTTTTTGTCTTAGCTCAGGAAGGATGGGGCTCCAGAGCACACTAATTTATGCAGTAGCCAAATCGCTCGCTCACAACTTTAATGCCAGTAGCCCACGAAGTAGAATTTTTGCTCACAAGACTCCACGGCTTAGAGGGAACACATGGCATCTTCTGCTAGCATGTGAAGACTTTTTAAAATTTCGTTGGACATCCCCTCGGTGATCCTTCCTCCCTGCCCAATGATTTAATTGTTGTTTTTATGATGCTATTTGTGTGTTTTAGTTCTGGTTTTAATTTTTAAAACTTTTTTGTTGGTTTTAATGCTTTTTAAGATGCAGTTTTATTACGTATGTTTATTTGTTGTTGGCCTGTGTAAGGGCAGAAAGGTGGAGTTTAAATCTTGTAAAATAAGTAAAAATAAATAATAGATGCCAAATTTGTCTGCATATACGCTCAGGTAAGGCTGTTATGGGACATAATAACATCAGGTACACCATCCTGGGATCATCACATTGCACATCATCCAGTTGAATATATACCATTGTGCCAATGATGCCATGATTCCACTGTCTACATTAGGCAAACATGCTGATCACTGTGTATGAGAATCGATGAACATAAATTGGACATAGGAAAACCTCATCATCCAGAAACCAGAGGGAAACCATTTTAATATCTCCGGACCAGAGTATTAAAAAACTGAAAATAACTGCTCTACCAAAAAAACCTCCTTCAAAGATAATATACAGCGTGAGAACTCATCAAGAAATTAAATGTTACATGCTATCCTGGCTAAAACAGAGACTTGAATTTTCTTGTTCGCTACAATCTCTCAAAGCTCCACAGGGCCCATTGTTTAAGAACCTTTAATTAATTGTTCTTAAACATGTTTTACCAGCCCATAACTCTAGACCAGTAACTGTAAATTTTCACTTAAATTTATCACTTTGCTTATCTGTTCGAATCTCTGACCTCCCTCTTTATCCATTATTTCGGCTGTTCTTTTTCAAAGAGAGAGCTAGACTTTGAAGTTTTATGAGTGGATTCACACCAACCATTCTACGTCTTTTCCCCCCATACAGATATACACTTGAAAAGTTCATGATGCAGTTTCCTTCCTTAAGTCCTCCCTTGCCCCTTATCATCTCCCCCATTAAGTAAGATTTCCACTTTGATCATGACTCATGAAAGGTCGTATAGAGATAAATCATTGTTAGTCTATAAAGTGCCTCTGGACTTCTGTATTTCTCTAGAAGTAACCCAGGGTTTGAGTAAAGTCACCCAGTTTTTTGTTGTTCAGTCGCACAGTCGAGTTCGACTCTTCGCGACCCCATGGACCAGCTCCCGCCAGGCCTTCCTGTCTTCCGCCGTCCTCTGAAGTTTGCTCAATTTCATGTTCGTTGCGTCGATGACACTGTCCAACCATCTCATCCTTTGCCGTCCCCGTCTTCAAAAAAGTGACCAGTTCATCAGTAACAGCCTCAGTACAGTTCGAAAGAGCAAGAGTCCTGCAGCGCCTTAAAGACTAACAGATTTTGTGGCAGGGTAGGAGCTTCCGTGAGTCACTGCTCACTTCTTCAGAGGCAGCTAGAATGGGAGTCCATCTGTCCTAATTTTTTTTTGAAAGTGGAGTGATTTCAGATGCCGAATGACGTTAGCAGGCAAATGACAATAGCGAGTGAATAACAATAGCAGCCATGATTGGATTTAGGTGAGATACGCAGAGGGGTAATCAGCGTGGAGAATAGCCGTACAGAATGGAAATCCATCAGCCTTGTGAAGAGACCTGCACAGGTACAAACAGATATAATCTTTCTCACCCAATGCAGAGTTATTTGCCTGCTGTTGTCCTTTGCCTGCTAATGTCATTCGGCATCTGAAATCACTCCGCTTTCCAATAAATAGGACTGAGTGATTCCCATTCTAGCTGTATCTGACGAAGTGAGCAGTGACTCACAAAAGCTCATAGTAAAGGTAAAGGTTTCCCTTGCTCGAAAGCCAGTCGAATCCGACTCTAGGGTTGTGGTGCTCATCTCCGTTTCAAAGCCGAAGAGCCAGCGCTGTCCGAAGACGTTTCCGTGGTCATGTGGCCGGCATGACTAAACACTAAGGCACACGGAATGCTGTTCCCTTCCCACTGTAGTGGTACCTATTTATCTACTTGCAATTTCTTGCTTTCGAACTGCTAGGTTGGCAGGAGCTGGAACTAGAGACGGGAGCTCACTCCGTCATGCGGCACCCGGGTCTCCAACATGTTATTTATTTATTGATTTGATTTTTTTACCCCGCCCTCCCCGCCGAGGCAGGCTCAGGGCAGCTTACATAAGAAACAATAGATAGGACAGCAGTATAAATATCCATATAAAATACACAAAAGTTATTAAAACCATTAACATAATGATGACGGTATAGCTGTGGTAAAGTGCATTCAGCGGTACATCCACTATCGGCGGGCTCAGGCTGGAAATAGAATTGGCACAGGGCGTAGATGATAACACAGCTCCTTACCTAAATGCCTGGCAAAAGAGCTCCGTTTTTGCGGCCCTGCGGAACTGTGAAGGGTTGTTGTTAGTCTTGAAGGTGTTAATGATCTCCTGGTTTTTTCTGCTGCTCCAGACAGGCTAACTCGGCTATCCATCTTGATCTGCCTCAGTAGTCGTGCTCCCAAATCTCGCCAAATCGCCAGGACATGACGCTATGTTTGGAGCCCCGTTGCCAGAGCGACGCGTAGCATCATGTCCTGGCGACAGCGGGTGCAACGCGTCTCGCCGTTCCCGCGGCAGAGATTCTGCAAAGCCATGCGATCCCCTGCCGCGACTTGGCAACCCTACTCAGTACAGACAGCCTATGACTTTGCCCCCTACTCAACTTTAAGTGCCATGATCGCCATGGCAGCCATGATGTCCATAGCATGACCTAACAAGGGGGACTCAGCATGGATGTCCCAGTCCCTCAAAGCAATCAGCTTGGTGGTCCTCAGCACCAAGTCCACCTCCAGCAGCTCAGCCGGGTTGCTCATTTGAGGGTTGAGTCCATCCGCTCCTCCAGTTCACTTGAAAATAGGGTTGCCAAATGTTACCTACCTTGCCGGCGGGGGACTCCTGCGCGGCTCCCAGTGTGCGCGCGTGCTGCATGCACGTCACAGGGAAGTGACGTCATGACGCCGGGCACGCTGGGGGCAGGGCCACGATCATACAAGGGAAAACTAGAGTTTTCCCTTGTATGGCCGTGGCCCCGCCCCCAGCATGCCTGGCGTCATAACGTCACTTCCCTGTGACGTGAATGCTGGGGCGGGGTTCAATTCCCTGGCATCGGGGAACGGGCCTCTGGGGCGGGGGGGATTTGGCAGCCCTACTTGAAAAATTGCTCGAAGGACCCTTGGGAACAGTGTAGGATGGAGCGTGAGGGGTGGGATTGTAGCTTTAAGGGCAAATATGTGGAAGTCCATAAAGATGTCTCCCGCGCTCCCCACGTAAATGCTGTTTTGGATCCAATCTGTTGTTTACCCTTTGCTGTCGAATACCACAAATAATAGATTTCTCGCCAGTTTCAAAACAGAGCCTTTTGAGAGGCAAGGTTTCTAAAGGGGAGTTGAGCACAGCAAAGCAGAAAGCCCCAAACAGGAAAGCCTCTGCACTAAACATCCTTTCTGGAGACAGAAGGACACGACCTGAAATTATAAATGAAACTGCAAGAGAGAAGTCATCTGTACTCACTGAATGTTTCCCCAAAGGGCTTCCCCATTTGGGCAGCCTGACACTTCACTCAGCTTGTTCTTGGAGATTTGGGGGTAGAGAACCGGGGAGGCTGCAGTCTAGAAAGGGGAGGGACCTCAGTGGTACATAACGGCATCGAGTCCACCCTCCAAAGCAGCCATTTTCTCCAGGGGAAACTGATCTCTCTAGTCTGGGTTGTAGTTCTGGGAGGTGTCCCAACCCTACCTGCCAGCTGGAGGTAAGATTCAAACCTGGCTGAGTGGAGGGGCTCCTTAAGAAAAATGGAGATATTTGCTACTCGCTGTTTTTTAATTCTCGCTTTTAAACGTCCTTCGATTGTGTGCCACCCCCGCCCCCATTCAATCAGAATGATACACAGTTGCGGGAACAATTTCGCCGCCTCATGAGGTGTGTGTTTCAAGGGCTCCTCTTTACTGGGGGGCAGAGAGATATTTTTTGACTCTCCCCTCCTTCTCAATCCGAACGCTGGAGGTCATAGTTCCCTCTAAGCTGAGTTGGTGTGAGCTAGCTCACAGATTTTTAGCCTCCGGCTCACACATTTTTGTCTTAGCTCAGGAAGGGATGGCTCCAAAGCAAACTGATTTATGCAGCAGCCAAATCGCTCGCTCACAACTTTAATGCCAGTAGCTCACAAAGTAGAATTTTTGCTCACAAGACTCCACAGCTTAGAGGGAACATTGCTGGAGGGTCACAGTTTACGCTGCTGGAGGAGCGGCTTAGCCTGACCCAGTCGCACTAAAGAAAGGGATTGTTCTTGTTGTGTTTTGTTCCATGTGGGGAGGGAGGTAAACCGTTTTTCCTTTGGCTGAGGGAAGCTCTCTGACCCTTTGAGAAACCCTGACCCCTGGCCCACCCTTTCCTTGCCACTCCTCGTGTTCCGAAAGTATGCCCTCAAGTCATTGTAATAAAGCACAACCAAATTGATTCAAAAGCAGAGTTCTGCAATCTCTGGCGGCCATCAGTTGCTGGTACTCAGTGATCCACATTGATTAGGCCCATTCAGCTTGGCCTAGGACGTCATATATCGGAGCACACCTCTTGCCTCGTTCTTGTTTTTCCATTGTTCACCAGAGGTACCCAGTTTGAGTGAACTTGTCATTGTTAAATTTGCCGTGCAAATTTCTCTTGACGATGGGATCCCAGGCCGATTACCCTCAGAAGTCTTTCCTGTGTAATAGGATTCAGCCCTTTTGAGGTACTATAAATGCCCAGTAAATTAGATTACTGAAAACCAAATTATCCCTAATGTGGTTTCTTCATCCTACTGGGATGATGGGAAAAGGGCATCGTGCAGAGATTAGACTTCAGCAGTCCTTCAAATGTTATTCGATGTGTTCGTAATTCATCGGAAGGCTTTACTAACACTTGGTAGATTCCGCCCGGTTTAAAGACTCGACGCAGGCCACAGTTGAGGTACTTTAGAAGAAGATGCAGCGCCAGAGCTCTGGAAGGGGTTTCAGAAGCCTTCCAGTTCAGCGACAGAGGCTCGAATAGTAGTTCCATAGAGAATGCTAGAAGAGCTTCGAAACGAACTGTGCGGTGCCACACCCGTTCCCGTCAAAACTAGACTGAACAGTTTTTGTTGTTGTTCAGTCGCACAGTCGAGTCCGACTCTTTGCGACCCCATGGACCAGCTCCCGCTAGGCCTTCCTGTCTTCCACCGTCCTCTGAAGTTTGCTCAATTTCATGTTCGTTGCATCTATGACACTGTCCAACCATCTCATCCTTTGCCGTCCCCGTCTTCTTTGACCTTCATTCTTTCCCAGCATCAGGGTCTTCTCCAGTGAGTACTCCCTTCTCATTTGGTGGCCAAAGTATTTCAGCTTCAGTTTCATTATCTGGCCTTCCAGGGAACAGTCAGGGTTGATTTCTTTTAGGATTGACTGATTTGATCTTCTTGCAGTCCAAGGGACTCTCAAGAGTCTTCTCCAGCACCATAGTTCAAAAGAATCTATTCTTCGGCGCTCGGCCTTCCTTATAGTCCAACTCTCGCAGCCATACATGACTACTGGGAATACCATTGCTTTGACCATGTGGACTTTTGTTGGCAGGGAGATGTCTCTACTTTTTATCATGCTGTTTAGGTTTGCCTTCGCTTTCCTCCCAAGGAGCAGGCGTCTTTTAATTTCATGGCCGCAGTCACAGTCTGCGGTGATCTGGGATCCCAGGAACGTGAAGTCTGTCACTACTTCCACGACTTCCCCTTCTATTTGCCAAGGAGTGATGGGGCCGGATGCCATGATCTTAGTTTTTTTGATGTTGAGCTCTCAACAAATAGTGGTTGTGAAAGATGTTTGGGGAGGAGCCATGGTTCAGTAGTTAGGGCAGATGCGTCGCTTGCAGAATATCCCAAGTTCCATCCCTATTATCTCGACTGAAAGAGCTGAGAATGAACTGGGAGAATTACTCACAGGGAAGGGCTATCTGGACCCATATAAAACAGCTGCCCGTGCTCAGAACCCTTCTCAGATTTTCAGGAAGGTGTTGCCTTACTTATGGAAGCCTGTGGTTTGCTCCTTTCCAACTTACATGGTCATACGGCTCTGCTGCCAGAAGCTAGCTTGAGGGAAACGTAATTTTCTTTCATTTATATCCCATTAATGGGGTCTGAATGGTGTTTCAACTGGGAAGGTCATGATTTTTTTCACCATCCTTTTCAGCGTTGGCTTGACTGAGTTCAAAGATATTTGAAAAACGTTCTCTGTCCATAACCACATTTTGTCCACATTTGGATGCCACATTTCTTTTAACAAACAAGCTGTCATGCAGCCCACCCAAAACATTTTAACCTCCTTTGGAGAGTGTTGGGGACCAAGCACTGTCTCGCCCTCTGCATTTTTCCTGCTCAGTTGAACTCCCCGGCAAGACCAAATGCCTCTATGATCTCTGAAAAGAATCTGAGTTTTTCCATGGTTAATTATATATCAGTTTTTAAAGTCCCGGTTGTATAGCAACACAAATGCAGAGAATGGGGCTAGGGATGCCAGGTCCCCCTGGCACAATGGAGGATCCCCCAGTTTCTGGCACTCCTCCCCCAAACAGGCAAGAAACAGGAAATAAACGTGACGTGCTCTGGTTTTTGGGCAAAACTCTATGGCAGAATTAGCTTCAAACCATAGAGTTTTGCCCAAAAACCAGAGCATCCCCCCCAACATCATCAATATGCCTACTTCACGTCTGGGTGATGTAGGCACATTGCGTTTATATCCAGCTCCTAGGTGACGTAGGCATGTCGCGTTGTTCCAGCTCCCAGTATGTTCCCCCTCATCCCCCGCCCACAAGTCCTACTGACCTGGCAACCCTAAATGGGGCGGATATGTTTTCAGTCATATTGGATGACAGGACTCAGACTAATGGATATAAACTACAGCAAGGGAGGTTTTGTCTAAATTTGAGGAGGAACTTCCTGACAGTGAGGTGTGTTCGACACTGGAACAGTCTCCCTCATGAGGTGGTATACTCTTCATTGTAAGAGGTTTTTTTGAGTATCAATCTGATGCCTACTTGTTGGGGATATTATAGTTCCTGCATTGGCAGGGGGTTGGATTTGATGACTCTGGTGGTCCTTTCCATCTCTGAGGTAAAATAAAATAAATTTTCCTTTACTCTCAGTAAGTTTCTTGGAAGAATGCAACTTTGCTGTATGGCATCTGTCATTTGTACAAATGCAGTCCAGTGTAGACTTACTCCAGTGTAGGGTCATGGATGTCAGTGGGTTCAAACTGGAATAACTCTATCATAGTACGGCACTGTAAACCTCTTAAATGTCGCGCAATACAGTAGAAGGTTAGATATTTGTTCTGAATCCCATAACGATTGTTTTGTATCCCAAGTCACCCACATTTCTTGGCGTTATCACCATAAGCCGCCTTGGAGCGAGAGGAAAGGCAGGATGTAGATGTTTTAATAAACAAATAATAAATGAATTTGTTCTGGTTCCAAAGGTAGCCCATGGAATGAGCAGCACCGATCCCAGTACTCAGCTGACATGGACACTTCTGATGAAGATATGAAGGGAGCCCCAAAAGTCCTAGCCCATCAGCTCCATCACACAAGACGCAGGAGCCGCGCGTCATCCCAGGAGAACATAAACCCCCCTGGAAATCAGGTACAGAAGGGACGAGATGCCTTCCTGACGATGTGTCTAACGTTCTGTTGCCTTTTGAATCCGAGGAGCCAAGCCTTAAGGGTTGACTTCACAGTCGCACACATTCCCTCTGCACTGGTTTTTCGCCCTCTGATTTATTTATCTGTGTATTCTGTGTGTGTATTGTGTATTTGTGTATTGTGTATTCTATATCTACCAGCAAAACCTGCATTTTTTGAGCTAACTGGCTGCCAACCCCTCCTTCCCTCCCTGCCTACTTTTGAGCTAACTGGCTGCCAGCCCCTCCTTCCCTCCCTGCCTCCCTCCCTCTGTGATTCTGCAAAAAGAAAGGGGAAGCGAGAGGGGAAATCCAGGCCCACACATGCAAGACTGACACATTTGGGAGCAGGGAGTCCCCTCGTCCTTTGTATTTACTGATTCCTTCCCATGCTCTCTCTGGTTTTTTAAAAGTTTGCCTGAGCGGGAGGACACGCCCTCTTTTGTCTTTGGAGAAGGAGGGAAAGAAAACAGAATGGGGAGGGAGCGTCAACCTAAAGAGAGAGAGGCGGAAACAGGGGAGGGGCAGTGGGCAGCACTTAAATACCCGCAGAAACGATTCTACTTTAGAACGGATTCGTGATTTGAAAGCGGATGAGAACAAAGAATCGCAGCAAAAGGAGTTTGGGTAGCTTCGGGGCAGCAGTGTGCTGGAAGCGGTCTGAATGCAGATTCCTGTAAAACAAATGCAAAAACAAGAGAAAGCCCTGAAATAAAGTGAAAGTGACAGTGGGAAGGAATGCAGAACGGAAGAGTAGGATGTGCTCGGAGACCGAGGCAAAGTACGGGTGCAGAAAGGGACCTAGAAATGAGGGTACTTGTGGTCCATGCTCTAGTATTATGTCTGGCAGTGGCACAAAGAAACTGAGAGTGAGAAAACGGACTTGTAAGAGGTCCAGTGTGTGCAAGACAGGCACCGGGAACAGCAATTTCTCAGTGTTCTGGTTGCAGAGGGAATACATGAGACAAAAGAGGCGAGTTTTCACCTCTTCCCTTTGAGTCTTTCACAGAGCTCTTATCTGAACGGGATCGAAAAGTATCTGCTTCTCAGCCACATAAGGAGCAAACAGTTAGGCACTTCGGGCCAAGAGCTGAATGATCGACATAAGTTTATGGGAAGATGCTCGGTGACATCAGCAGCTCTTCGTTCCCCTGGCTTACTGTAAATTTGTAGCCTCTGCGCATTTTGTGAATTTTAATTCCAAAGCACGGTAAAACTTAACTTTGTCTTGAGGAACAAGGGGAGCAACTCCGATTGCTGAGCTGGGTGCATGGCTTGAAATCGGATCCCAGAAGTTCCCATTGTTGTCCTCCTGATCAATGTTCCCTCTAAGCTGTGGAGTCTTGTGAGCCAAAATTCTACTTTGCGAGCGACTGGTGTAAAAGTTGTGAGCGAGCGATTTGACTACTGCATGCATTCGGTTGCTCTGGAGCCCTCCTTCCTGAGCTAAGACAAAAATGTGTGAGCCAGAAGCTAAAAAGCTGTGAGCTAGCTCACACTAACTCAGCTTAGAGGGAACAATGCTCCTGATGGAAAGCAGGTAAAGGAGAGCACGCTTTGCTCCTCAGAACTCTTTCCTACAGTTTTGTTTTGGCCACAGCTTAAAGGGGGGGGGACTTTCTCGGGGCGTGAGTATGGCTCACAAAACACCTAACAGTGAACACAAACACCTAATAGTGAAGAACAGACCCTCCCCCTTCTGTTCCTTGTCTCACGGGAAAACACACTGTAGGTAATTTATCTTTCCTGTTTAACCATCCAGCTTTTTTCTCTTCAGCAACAGAAGACAACCCCCCCCCCCCTTTCCCCCCTGCTGCATGGACTGTTACAGAAATTCCCACCTTTTTGAAAACCATCCCTTTCACTGCCCTTTACTGTTTTCTGTTGACTGTCTTGTGGCTCCGTCTGGAAACTGGACTCAGCTCCTGCTTTGGATAAGATAAAATCAGGGCCCGGAGGGAGGAATCTTAGCTCCAAAATCTCTTCTGCTTCATCCCCTCCTTCTCAAAGTATCCTAGGCACTTGGTCACAATGACATGTCACTGCTCAGTGATACAAAATGTTTGATGGATGCAAGAAGATTCCATTTTTTCCTCCTTTTTTTAGGGTAGGGAAAAGGAGATTCATTCTCTCTCCTCCTTCAAAGGTTACATGTCAGCCAGTCAGTCTTTATCACAGGCCACTAAAAAGCAGGAAAGGTACTATTACAGCCAGTTTGGTGTCGTGGTTAAATGCGCGGACTCTAATCCGGGAGAACCGGGTTTGATTCCCCACTCCTCCACTTGCACCTTGCTGGATGACCTTGGGCAAGCCATAGTTCTGATAAGAGCTGTTCTTGAAAAAAGAGCAGTTTCTGTCAAGAGCTCTCTCAGCCCCACATACCTCACAGGATGTCTGTTGTGGGGAGGGGGAGGGAAAGGAGTTTGTAAGCCGCTCTGAGACACCTTTGGGTAGTGAAGGGCGGGGTATAAATCCAATCTCCTCCTCCTCCTCCTCTTCTTCTTAATTACCTACACAAAATCTCAGCATACATAATTCATCCTAGTATATTTTACAATTTAGGGGTTAGATTCTGAGTAGATTATACACAGGATGATATCTCAGCCTCTATTTTCATTGCAGAAAGTAGAAACTTAGCTACAGGTACAGTAGTTCTTTGGTCACACACACCCCAAGAAGATTTTGAGAGTCGTCAGCTCAGAGGAAAGGGTTTTTGTCAACCAACCGAGGGGCCAATAAATCCAAAGGTTGCATGCTATCTAACAGTGCCAAAAAGGAAGAATATATATTCAACCAAAGTGATGTAACTAGTCACATGTGCAATTTGAAGTTCTTTATGCTCAGAATCTCCTGTTATAAGAATCAATAACTCTGATTATTTTTTTTAGATCCTCGTGTTGTACATTCCCTTCACAGTGTAATCCTGTGGAAAGAAGTAATCCCATTTGTCCAGAATATTTGGGATAACCTTCACCCATTTGGATACATTTTCACTGGATGTTGAGGCTGGCCTACTCCACTTGGTAGTGCCCTCCTAAGCAGAGTTATACCTGTCTAAGTCCATTTAAGTCAGTGGTCTGGTAAGTGCGCAAAGCTGGTGAAACGCTGCATGGGACAGTATTGCAAGCTTGTCCAGCTGGTAAGGGGGTGGGGAGATTTCCCATCACTGCTGCCTGGTCTGTGTGTCCCCGCCCCAGAGGTGGTTAGAACTATTGGCTTAGGGAGAGGGAGGCCCCACAAGAGGACTTTGGGATCCTGTCATGGCCCTAGAAAGAAGGGAAGTTTGCAAGTAGTCGGGGAGGCAGTTTCCACTCTGCTGCAAGGTTCCCTCAGCCAGTGCACATGGTAGACTTTGAGACTGCTGGAATTCTTACGTGGGAGCAAGAGGTGCAGGTTGACAAGAGGAAGAATCTCCCTAAATCAAGAGAGTCAGCCAGCCAGCAGGCTAAAGGAAGATCCTGTGTGGATCCTAACATTGGGGCAGCTGGACACGACGCAGAGCTGGGGAGGAAGAAGAAGAAGAGGAGAGATTGGGCTTATATCCTGCCCTTCACTACCCGAAGGAGTCTCAGAGCGGCTTCCAATCTCCTTTCTCTTCCCCCTCCCCACAACAGACACCCTGTGAGGTAGGCGGGGCTGAGAGAGCTCTTCTGAGAACTGCTCTTGACAGAACAGCTCTGAGAGAGCCATGACCGACCCAGGGTCACACCAGCAGCTGCATGTGGAAGAGTGGAGGAATCAAACCCAGTTCTCCCAGATTAGAGTCCGTGCTCCTAACCACTACACCAAACTGGCTCTCAGCTAGGCATAGAGCCACAGAGAGGGATGGTGGAGAGAACCAGGCAGGGTACAGGGGAGGGGAGGTGCTTAAATAGAGTAGGGGAGCCAACTCCCCCCCCCCGTCCCACCCAGATGGTAGCTAGGGGGCTGCTGTAATTGCAAATTGTAAATTGAGTTACAAACAGAATACCCACATGCTTCAGAAAGAAATTCACATTAAGACTAAATTACGCAAATGGGATGTTTTTGTCTATCACATTCTGAACAGTATTTGGCTGTAACCCCTCACATTCTTAATGAAGACTCCAGGTGGCCCCTGGAGATCTCCGGATGACCAAGATCCGTCCCGCTTGAGAAAAAAGTTTTGGCTGTTCCCCCTCCGGCAGCAGATCCCCACTTTGTCCCTACTGCATGCTATTCCGGGGGGGGGGGGGTCCATTCACCCCGGGTGGGCATGATGGGGGACCAGGAAAGCCCCCCTCTTCACATGGTACAGGCTATGCTCACACAGCTAGGATCCTCCTCAGTCGGATTTTAATATTTAAATATTGCTCTTAGAGCTGAAGAATTCTGAAATGGATAATGTTACAGTATTGAGTAAGGAAGGCCGAGCGCCGAAGAATAGATTCTTTTGAACTATGGTGCTGGAGAAGACTCTTGAGAGTCCCTTGGACTACAAGAAGATCAAATCAGTCAATCCTAAAAGAAATCGACCCTGACTGTTCCCTGGAAGGCCAGATAATGAAACTGAAGCTCAAATACTTTGGCCACCAAATGAGAAGGGAGCACTCACTGGAGAAGACCCTGATGCTGGAAAAGATTGAAGGTCAAAGAAGACAGGGATGGCAAAGGATGAGATGGTTAGACAGTGTCATAGATGCAATGAACATGAAGTTGAGCAAACTTCAGAGGACGACGGAAGACCGGAAGGCCTGGCGTGATCTGGTCCATGGGGTCGCAAAGAGTCAGACTCGACTGGGTGACTGAACAACAACAACAACAACAGTATTGAGTATTTTATAAAACGGGTTATACACTTATGGCACACATGTTCATACAAAGTCAAGGAAGGAAGTGCTTTGGTTCTGCATGCTGTGAGCCAGGTTCACCATGTCCTTGTTAAACTTCAAATTGGGGGTTATGAGGTAAGAACCGTTCCAACTTTAGCTGCAATGATACAGCTACAAACGCCTAATGCACTGGGCTGAGGTAAGAGGATAATCCAGTTATCCCGGTGACATAAACAGGCTCGGTCTTTGCAGTCGTGCTGGGGTTTAGGTGTGCGGAACCACTTCATTCCCACTCTGTGCATAGTCTGGCTGTGGGTTATTCTGAACTCCCAGCCTCTGTGTCATTCTCTTGACTTAATACTATACAACAAGCAGAACCACAGTTATAGAAACTAACAGCGAGAAAGACAACTGTGATAATAGACGCTAATCCATCTGAATAGTACGATCAATTACAATAATTATTTCTCCCCAAAATATTAATATGTTCTTTTTTGTAAAGTGTTTTAACACACATTAAACATCTCCATCATCATCTCCTCAGCATGAATACGTCATATAAAATACTTTCGGAAAAACCCAACTGGGAAAAATGGTAATATCTTGAAGAAAGAGCCCATATCGTTCCACATAATAATTTCTAGAATGAAGAGTCCGTGTAAATTCACATAATTTATGTACACTTGTTTACTTGAAAAAGCTTTACCGATACAAAGAAGTATTAGAACGTTTGTCTTTTGAAGGAGTTGGAGATGGGTGTCTTGACTATCAGTTTGGGAATCGATTGACGTCATAGGGGTTTCCCATCATTACTGGCGAAATCCATGCTTGTCCCTTCTTCTCTGGGCTTCTTGGGTGACACCTTCTCAGGTGACGGTTTACAAGGCGTTTCCCTCTCCCCATAATGAGAGCCAGAGGTTTTCATTTGGATTTCAAGTACTGGGAAATGCATCGAAATGTACGCCAGCCCATACGTCCAGATGCCTTCCCACTCGGCACATTTCATAACTTTATTGTCGACCCCTTCCCCTTTGGGATTTGGATGGAATGAGGCCAGGAGCTCTGCTCCCTCTTTCCGTTGCCTCATTCTTCTCTTAAACTGTTCCCGAGCATGATTGGAAAACCATTATCCGTTATAAGGTTCGGTTTTATACAACGTAGCGTGCGCTTTTCCTGTTTTGAAGGTGGTGCTGGTGAGAACTAGTTGCCCTTTCAACATTCTCTTCGACACAGAATATTATTCTGGCGTTCTCTGCCTGAAACCCCCAGAATAATGAGATTTACATTTTTAAAATCCCTAATTCCCTGATCTATCTGTGCCCTGACCTGGATAACCCAGGCTACCCCAATCGTGTCAGGTCTCAGAAGTGAAACAGGGTTGGCCCTGGTTAGTATTTGGATGCGAGACCACCAAGATATACTAGAGTTACTACACGGAGGCAGGCCATGGCAAACCACCTCTGAGCGTCTCTTGCCTTGAAAACTGTTGGGTTGCCCTAAATTGGACTCAACTTCACGGCACTTTTTTGCCACCACATCACATGTACATGGATCATCTGTTGCAGGAGTGCAGGCCTGCTTTTATTGTTGTTTCTTAAGAAAACCATGGGAGGATTGGAACTTGGTACCCGTGCACCATAAAACAGGCACGCAGACTTTTCACACATTTCCTTAGAGTGGGGTGACAGTCTTCATTTTGTAAAAATTAAGTTCCTAGCCTTCATATTATCAACCCGAAAATGTCTGCAGTTTCTGATAGGCCCTTACTGTGTGAAGGGTTCCATATTGCTTGCCTCTTTTATCACCATGACAAGCTGTAATGTATTCGTGTCCGACTGCATGCATGCGAGGCTAGCTCGCCACACGGTCATGCGAAGCCCCCCAGCTTTGCTCCCAGAGACAATGGGCCAAGTGGATCCTATCCAGTGCTAATCGGAGAGCTGGGGTCCTAGCCGGGACCTATGGAACTCTCGGCCACTGTAAATACCCTATCACGGTGGGGTGTGTGTGTGTGTGATGGGGGTGGGTATCTTACGAATAAAAGCCGGCCTGCGAGCTGGGTTTTTTTTGTCTGGTTCCGAACCTTTAATAAATGTATGAGCTGAAATCACTGCCTCTCGCTCAGTACATTTCACAAGCCCATGGTATGTGCCTTCCCCCATTTTGCAAGTGGAGAAAAAGTTAAAAAAATATTTTTTATTTTATTTTTCCGGATTTATAGCCTGCCCTCCCCAGAAGTGGGCTGAGGGTGGATCAGAGGGCCAATCAGCATCGCAATATAAATACAATTAATAATCAGATCAAACCGTTAAGAACAATAATTTAAAAACATATCGCCCTGTTTGTGTGTTCACACAATCTCCAGAGCTGGTGTCACTAGATTTCTGGGGCCTACTCTGGGCCACGTAGAGACGGTGAACTTCAGCAGGGGAGGCCGACTTTTTCACTGGACACTTTTTTTACTGGACCCTCAACCAAAGGCCTGGCAGGCCAGCTCCGTTTTACAGGCCCTGAGGAATGGCAGTAGGTCCAGCAGGCCCAGTAGGCAGTAGGTCCCACAGGGCCCTGATCTCATACGGGAGCGTGTTCCACCAGGCTGAGGCCTGGGCAGAAAAGGCCCCGGCCCTGTTCGAGGCTAAGCAGACACCCCTTGGGCCGGGGACAACCAGCAGACCTCGGTCGGCACTGGCAGAGTGCACGGTTCATGACTCCAGGCCCGACACCCAACTCAATCTACTTTCTCTCAGTCAGCACAGGGCAACTTAAAGCCACATGCAAAGAACCCAAACTGCTCATTACAAAAATAATAATAATAATAATTCCACTTATTCTAACCTAGGCTTGCCTGTTATCTTTTAAATTTGAACTGCTTTTCATTTTTACTGTGGTGGTTGGAACTGGGCATCTAGTGTGTGCCGATCTCTCATTGGAACAGCAAAGGTGGCGGGAACTGTTCTGTCTTTACTGCCTGCTCTTGTGCTGAGGCATTGTGTGTCGGTGGTGGCGGGCTCTGTACTACACTCTCTTCTCTCCTCTCCTCTCTTGCCCTAGATACTGGAACTCAGCAAGCGCATGTCAGCCATCGAACGCATGCTGAACAGCCTCGAGGGAAAGATCCTGGTTCCTCCAGAAGAGGTAAAACAAAGCATGGACCCTTTATTTTTTCAGAGGGAGGAAAACCTTGCGGTGTGCAAGAGCCTAATCCTTTCGCCGAAAGACGTGCCTCTAAACATCTTCGCCATCGGCAAACGGCGGCTACAGCCCGCTTTCGAAATGGGGGAGGCAATTTTAGTTACCCAAAGGAATGGATATTTCTGTCATCTGCGACGCTTTACTCACACACAGCTATTTTGACAGCTAGATACGAGTCCAATAGCACCTTAGAGAAGAACAGAATCTTTCCAGAGTCAGGGCCCCCTTCGTCAAGAGTGAAGGGAGCATTGACTCCCGAAATCTCGCACTCCCCATAATCTGGCCTCTAAGGTGTTTCTGGACTGGAATCCAGCTGTTCTACTGCAGAACAACATGACTACCCACTGGAACATCTGTTTGAGTCCTAGTTCCCTCCTTACATTGAAAAGAAGGAAACCAAAGCCCGTGGGCTCCAAGCTCTGCTTAACAGCCGCCTGCAGCACCCTCTCCATTGGTCATTATGGGACAATGAGAATGCATCTGGCGTTCGCTCCACATTTTCTCAACACTGAGGAAAAGGTGCAGCTCAAAACCACATTCGGATACTCCAGGGGCAACGCCGTACTGACTCGAAGTCACCCCTGAATGGCCATAAATCTAGGCGGAAGGTACCATAAACAGGGCTGGCTCGAGGTGTTTCTGTGCCCTAGGCGAGGCTGCCTTGTAGCGCCCCCCTTGTGGATGCCAATCTCCCGGTGGGGCCTGGAGACCACCCAAAGGCCGGACACGAGAGCAGAAACAGGCCCCTACCCCGCGACCCCCCCTGTCCTCTCCGGGGCTGCCGCGGTGGGGGTGCGGGGACCGGGCAGGGTGTGGGTGGTGGCTGGTGGATTCTTTGGTGGTGCCTCCCCCTCCTGACTTCCTCCTCCCACTGGAGACTAAGCGGGGGGAGAGAGAGGGAGACCCCCTCCTCCAGCCAGACTCCCAAGGCCAGGGGAGAAGCCGGGCTGTCATTTTGGAGCGGGGGAGGGAGGGTACCCCGCGCTCCACCCCCTTCGTGCATCAGGCTGAGCCTGACTGGAGAAATGTTCAGAGGTGACAGTGCCTGCAGCCTCCCTTCCAGTCCTCACAGGGCATTTCTCTCACCAGCCCATCCCTCCAAGAACCTCTCCCCTGCCCCCACCAACCTCTCTTCTCCTCGGCACCGCGGGGCTCAGTGGCTGCAGCGACACCTGAATTAGGTAGCCAACCCCCCCGCATGGTACACCGCCTGCAGCTGCCCTCCCCGTGCCGCCAGCGGCTGGGAGGCAAAGGGCAGAGCAGCTGGCTGGGAAAGCAGAAGCCTCCGGGTCAGTCATGCCACACGAGCTGCCCGGGCACCCTCCACGCCGCCTTCAGCAGAAGAAGGGGCTGGAATGGAGCAGTGGCGGGCAGGGGAATGGTCACTGGGTCGCCTGGGGTCTCCTTCACAGCCTCCGCCTTGGGGGGCTCCAGTGTCTGTGGGGGGGCGCTTCTTCACCAGGACAGGGCCGAGCCTCTTTCGCCAAAGTTGGGGATGGCGAGAGCCCCGAAAAGGCAGGCGGGCGGGGGGAGGGCCAGTCCTCGCCAGAGGCAACAGGGAGCTGCCTGAGCCCAGTGGAGGGAGAGACGACAGATGCGCCTCCTCATTGCTGCACCGGAGCGACGTGCCTCTCTGCCGTCCTGGGACTGCAGGCAGGCAGGCAGAGCATGGGACCACGCCGCTGCTCCTTCGCCCACCCCCTGCTGCTACCGCCTCTTTCTCCCCGAGCTTGCTGGACTCGGGGAGAAAGAGGTGGTGGTGGTGGTCGGGAAGATGCAGGGCTTTTGGCGGGAGCAGGGGGGCCTGGGCCAGTTTGGCGCCCTAAGGGCCGGCCCGTGCTCTAGGTGAATGCCTAGTTTGCCTAGCGGGTGAGCTGGCCATGTCTTGAGGGGAAGGGGGCAAGCTGTCCCGTGTGAACATTCTGCTTAGTTCTGTTGCCCACCCACCAGCACAGTAGTAATGGAGGGAGCACCCACACCTACACTCCTGCAAGGCCAATCAACAGATTACCCTTTGAGACAGAAGAAGAAAAGTTTATTTTTCCCCATAGTTTGGCACCCTAAGGGTCAGCCCGCAATCTAGGCGAATGCCTAGTTCGCCTAGCGGGTGAGCCGGCCCTGACTATAAAACCCGATTATCAAAGAAAGTGAAAGCTGCACGAAGTGTAGAGCAGGGGTGGCCAAACTTGCTTAACATAAGAGCCATATAGAATAAACGTCAGATGTCTGAGAGCCGCAAAACATGAACCAATATTACACAATTTGTTTGCTAATGATATTAAGCTTCCCCAGCCACCCTGCCGGGAGCCACACAATATGTGTGAAAGAGCCGCATGCGGCTCCCGAGCCACAGTTTGGCCACCTCTGGTGTAGAGGGTACCATAAAACCTGATGATCAAAGGAAGTGAAAGCAGCATGCAGCGCAGAGGGTACTTCTGCTCCAAGGTGGGTTTGGTAAAACAGCAGAGGGAAAAGCCAATGTGGAATCGCCCATACTATCGAACTGTGAGTGCTCGAGTTGCCTTCTTTTCCTCTTCCCTTGCCGTTCTCCTGTCCTTTTCAGGTGTGGTATCATCATGCAGGCAGTTCTTCGGTAAAACAGCAGAGGGAAAAGCCAATGTGGAATCGCCCACACTATCGAACTGTGAGTGCTCGAGTTGCCTTCTTTTCCTCTTCCCTTGCCGTTCTCCTGTCCTTTTCAGGTGTGGTATCATCATGCAGGCAGTTCTTCTAAGTGCCTTGAATACAGTGGCAGAAAGGCAAACTGTAAAAGGATCCCGCAAATACGTAAATGAATACACATCCCTTCCGTGGCTCCCTGACACGCTAGTTCTCTGGTCCACGTCTCTGATTAACCTTAGGTAAAGGTAAAGGTTCCCTTGCTCGAAAGCCAGTCGAATCCGACTCTAGGGTTGCGGTGCTCATCTCCGTTTCCAAGCCAAAGAGCCAGCGCTGTCCGAAGACATTTCTGTGGTCATGTGGCTGGCGTGACTAAACACCGAGGCGCACGGAACGCTGTTCCCTTCCCACCGAAGTGGTCCCTATTTATCTACTTGCAATTTCTTGCTTTCGAACTGCTAGGTTGGCAGGAGCTGGAACTAGAGACGGGAGCTCACTCCGTCATGCGGCACACTCGGGTCTCGAACTGCTAAACTACTGACCTTCCACAGCCTGCAGTTCAGCGTCTTAACCACTTGAGCCACCGCAGCTCCTGATTAACTTTATGACACGCTAAAAAAAAGCCCTGAAATAGAATAGCAGTTTAAAATACTGATTTCACAAACTGAAAAAAGCCCCTTAGGGGCTGATATTACCCCGGCAGGGTGAGCTGTGCCTTGCAAAGATTTGCCGTTGCCTGGTAAATACCAGCTCTGGCCATGTAAGGACACGTACGCTTTGGGTTGAAGCAACCACATTAATATTGATTCAGTTGATGTAATATCTTGTGGTGCCTTTACCCAGCCAGAAAGAATGTGCTTTATATACACAAGCAGAGATGTTTCCAGGTGAGTGTGTGGAAACCAGATGGGAACCAAAGAGATGTTCACCCTCCCTTCGGCACATAGAAGTGTTTCCCTCCCCCCTTAGAGTACCTCTACACAGGTTCCAATCAAGGTAATGATCTTAAATTATTTTAATCAGGGGTTGTTTCGTAGAAAAA